TAATTTAAGGGGTCAGTTGAATCTAAAAGTTCATGCTATACGTACAACCAAAAAAAGATTTTGTATTTCTATAAGTGGGGTCAAATTATGGAATAAGTTAAATGTGGACATGAAAAACAGTACTAGAATTGAGGAGTTTAAATATAAATATAAAAGTATGTGTCATTCAAGATATATGCAAGAATGAGAGATTTAATCAAGAATGCTCTGTTTTAAATTTTCTGTATATTACTTGTCTGGTGAAGAAGAGAATTACCTATGTAGAGATACTGCTTGCAGCCAATGATGCATGAAATTTTTTGTATAAGATGATGTTATGGGGTAGGACTGGATAAGTCTGACTTCTTCCTACTCCATTCAAACATGTACTAGGTATAAGCAAACTGATTCTGAATCAGCATTGGTTGGATTTGTATAATTATGTGTGTGTTGATGTCGTTTGTTCTGCATGTTTGAAAGAATAAATCAAATCAAATCAAAAAAAAAAAAAACTGGACTGGGGTGTGGATAGGGAAACTAACATTTAGTACCTGTTGAAGTTGAACTCTTGGAACTATAAAAAGTTAAAAATACTATGAAGGTGATGGGTAGGGTAGATGTATGGGTCCAAAAGGGACACAGCTTTCACTATCTCATATTGTTTGTTTTGTGTTACAGCCCCTTTATAGTCAAATATCCCCACTGAGCTTTCACTGGAAAGCTGTCAGTAGCGCTGTCTGTGGATGCATATACACAAACCCACACCTTTATATAAAGTTCTGTACCAGTCAAAAGTTTGGACACACTTTCCCATTGAATCTAATCGAAAAATGTATCTAAACTTTTGACTGGTAGTTTATGTCCCACCTGGCTTCCTGTCTAGCTTTGTGGATGTGTCCTGATCTTGATGCTCACAGGAACCTCCTCCCTAAATAGCTGTTTCTATGTGTCCCACCACCCATCATCCAAACACAGGGAACAGAGAAACTGCACTGTACTCACTGTCTAAAAGCTCAGTTCAGAAAGTCAGTGGATATCACATCATAAAATTCACATTTTGAATGCGTAATATGTCCTCATGGGAAAACAATTTGGAATAACACAAAACTGGCTCTCAGCAATACATTTAGATATATTAACTGTTGGAAGGGATCGTTTTTCACCTTTGACCATTCTGGGAGTATAAATAGGGAACCTTGTTCAGAGTCAAGGAACCTGGCCATAAAATGCTGGTGAGTGAGTTTGATCCATATCAGAGAGATAGTATATACCACCTTTCATCAAACTTAATTTGACAGGTGGCCACGCCCCCTTTGTCCATTTTTCAGCCAATCAGAAGCGTCCTTTCAGTCCTTAGTCCCGCCTTCCGGTTTCCGGTCCACGTGGTCCCCACGTGGCCTCCACGTGGTACTTGGGCGTGCCCTCCAACCCCCTGCATCTGTTGTTGAAGATAAGGAAGTGATGACGTATCTCAAACTGCAGATCTTGTGGTTGTGGTTACCCGCAAACTGAAAAAGATAAACAGAGAGAAGTTACAATGTGTACATGTCTGTTATTGTATAGATAGGAATATAACTGTATTTTGATATTGGTTGATCTTATAAAATGATGTTTGGAATAAAAAATCTAACATTGTGTCACTTGTTCAATTGTACTAGCTGTTTTAAACAATGAGTAGCTATAGAGCTACAATGTTTTTCTATGCACAGAAAGGAGTGTTAAGATAAAATGGTCAAACTACAGTCAATGACCAGCGTTTTTCTTTATATTCTGTGAAACAGATAGAATTTCAAACTGCTGTCAGTGAATGGTATTTAGTACATTATTTTTGAACATACATTTTAGCGATTATGGATGAATACATACCAGGTTTTTTTAATGCGTCCATCTGTCATGGTCCGTTTTCAACGTGCTTCTCCACCCCCAGCCCTCCTCAACCGTTATGATCTGCAAAGCAGAGATAATAGTGCAGCAAACGTTTTTTCGTGTGTGAGAGAGCATAACTCAGGGTGTTATCAGCAACAGACGCTGTGTCTACATCGTTAGCAATCGCTTAGGCAAGCATACCGTTTATAAAACTCTGTTATAAATACCTTTGGGTTTAAAGAATGGGTTTAAGGAGCGTTTTTTCGGAGGTGTCCGGACAAAGACAAGACCAGCATGAGCACAGGTAACTCTGCAGGAAAAAACAAATTACAATTATTTTTTTCTACTTGAAAA